TCGTTATAACAAAATCTGTTAAAAAATCATTCAAGTCTTCTTAGCGGTTCTTTCAATCTTTTTCATATAAACCGTTAACCGACGATTACCTGTTCCTGAATCTTTACTGCAACAACTGCCAAAGCCTAGTGTAGGAGCTCCTGAATTAACTCGTTTAGCCCTGAGCAGCGGACAACTGCCGCCAAACACTCCAATCTTGTCAACAATTGGTTTACAATGACATCCCATCAACAAACACATGAAGACCTGCAACAAAAAGTCTGATTTAAAGAAATTTGTTGTTTTTTAAAATGATCAAACGAAAAAAAAGGAAGCAATCTTTTTAAATAATGCTGACATTACTACAATTCATCTTATATTTATACTACTATCTTTATATTTAAAACTTTTTTTCACATTCAAGGATGCATATCAAAATCGCGCAGCTGATTAATGCCGTTGATAAAATAGATAACTTTTGCAAATCCTTTACGAACGCGCAGGCCTAGAKCTGACGGCAAACGTCAAATAAGGTAGATCTGTCTTGTCAGTCTACAGCCGACATGACAAAAGGAAAGGGCGCCAACTGTTTGTTCAGTACAGCAAAGAAGGTACAATACGCGTGGAACATGTAGACTTTTACGTCTTACATATGGCYAATCCAAACATTTTTATAGTCTGAGCACTAAGTGAAAGCCAAGATAATAATTGCWACCATGCAAAGCTGGGCTTATCAACCTACTATAATCATACGGCATAACTGAAACTTACCGTAAAACCTTTAAAACCCATGATGGTATACCTTTTCAGTTATCGTCGATTTTTAATGTTAACCTGGTTGTTATGGCAGTTGTATGAAGACTGAGTGAGAAGCCCCTCGTCCTTTTATATGCACCTGGATGCATGCACTGCTATGGGTTGGTGCCATCGCGGCCCACGCTTCTTGTTGTACTTCAGAATTGCTCATCAATGGATATACCCCGCCGATTGTCCCAGTGTCGGGAGTGCGGTTTATACATTTTGAAAAAGCAAAGAGATAAATTTTTCACATTTTTGAAAGTAAAATCATAGGTTGCAGTTGAAATTTTGTGTTAAATAGGGCAAGGGCAGGGCAAGCTGACCTCTCATGTATATAAAACCCATGTAGGAAATCAAGGTTTATTGAATTTCAAAGAATTTAGAATGCGAAGAATTTGGCATACATCTTGCTGTATACAAAATTAAAGTTAGCGATAACGAAGAGCATAGCCTTCCGGATCAATACTATCCTAACTCAAGATGGGGGTAACTAAGAAAATGAAATAGTCCAGCTGCTGACCGCAAAACAAACACCATCAAAGAGATTATTTTATACGAGATCAGGTAAAAGCTAGAATTGCACTTGTTCATCAATTTATCTTGAATAAAGATAATGCGGCCTTTTCTAAGTATTTAACACCTATCAAATGCAGCTTTTTCTGATACTGAACTACAATATATTCACTGTAACTTTCAGTCTTATCTAAGTCTAGCCAAAGCACCGCCATGCACGACCCAAATGGCTAGACAGTTGTATTGTTAAGAAGTAAGAAAACGTAGGAAACAGTGATACATACATGCAGCTTTTGCAAGTACTGCCTTCATGTCATGAGCATTATTAGGAAGATCTTGAAAACTCTTTTTACATGAACAATCTTGTAAGTGAAACAAGTTTTCTTAACTGTTGGACAATGAATTATGTCTGAAGCTTGTATCAAAGCGTGGCATCTTGCACATCAATAAAAAACAAAGACAATCACAAAGACAACTATTAATTAATAAAATG